CTTCATGCTGCTGCTCTACTCCTACGCCGTCCCCCCACTGCAAGTCAGCGTGACAGAGTGAGTGTGGGGTCCCCGTGTCCCCCTCCCCCGGCAGCTCGGCCACCCTGGTTTACACTGGGCACCCCCAACCGGAGATGGTCCCGGAGCTTTCCAGGCTCTGGTGGCTTCACACCGAGATGTCCCCTTCCTACAACCTCCTGTCAGAGACTGTGCCCTGTCCCACGGGTGCGGGGGAGGCGAACCCCAACTCCCCTGGGGGCTGGAGACACTCACCCGGGGGGGCCCGCTGCAAAATGGCAGCCAGCACTTAGCTTCTGGGCGATGGAGGGGACAAGGGGTTGCAGGAGACCCCCTGCCCACTGCGCTTCATGTCCCCTGGGAGAAAGAAAAGCACCGGGGGAGACGTTCCTCAGCAGCCAGGAGCAGCGGGCAGAGCCGAGGCAGTTATTCGGGCGCTCTTTATCAAGGGCTTGTCCTCCAAGAGCAACCAGAGCACTGCCATGTGTAAACTCTCACCCGCAGAGATGGGCACATGTAGGTTCAAAGCTCTCTGCTGCCCGTCACGCGAAAGCCGATGCTCAGTAAGGCCATCCCTCCTGGCATTAGATTTATCTCTAGGCTTATAAAAGAGATCCACCTGCGGCTGTTTCATAACCTACGTGCTGACCCACGCTCCCCCGCGCTGCCAGATGGAAGCGTTATCCAGGATCAGCTTTGCAACTTCATTAACGGTGCCCAAAGTCACTCGACACTGTGGTCTCTGTTCCCTGCTGCGGGCATCTCAGATAACACACAAAGTTGTTCTCGGTGCTCCCTGAGGGCCCACGAGCTCCTCTGCAGGGCCACGTGCTAGAATGATTTCCCTCTTTGCTCGGGTGCTGGATCCTCCACGACTCCTACAAGGGGTTGAGAGCTTCCAGACCTCGCAAGAATGTTGTCAGCTCCTGTCCGTGGAGTTACGGCCACGGAGAGCTCATCTCAACATCACCTGCACCAGGGCCACCACGGCCATGCCCATGGGGAGGGATGGGGACCCCCTGCTCAGGCTGCACCAATGCCAATGGGGGCTGACCGCCGTGAAGACCCCCGTAGTGGCATGTTCTTGGCGTCTGGGGTTGTCCAGGGGGTGAATGAGCTTGCTTTGGTGGCCCGGAGGTGCACCTGATGTTGGGGGGCTCGTGGGGGCAGTGGGCTCTGCCCTGTTCGCCTAGGGGCTGCTGCCGGGTGGGTGCCCCAGTGCCGCTGGGCACGTGGCTGGGTGTGAAGGGGGCTCTGCCCAAAGCCGGGCTCGTCTCTGCCAGGGAGCCTGGGGGTGCTGGGGGTGAACACCCATCCCCAGGTCCAGCACCCGTCCCCAGGTCCAGCTCCTCCAAGAAGGAAAATGGCTGAGCCCTCGTGGTGGCTGAGCCGCATTGGCCAAGCTGCCCTCACCGTGGCGTCCTGTCTCTTCTCCCCACCAGGATCCCTGTCTCCTCCTCCTGCTCCGCCTACCCGCTCCCCGGCAAGGCGCCGGCAGCGGCCAACGGCACGGGCAGCCCCTCGGGACAGAGCTGCCTGCCCAAGCTGAACGTCATGTTCATGAAGACGCACAAGACGGCCAGCAGCACCATCCTCAACATCCTCTTCCGCTTCGGGGAGAAGCATCGCTTGAAATTCGCCTTCCCCAACGGCCGCAATGACTTCTACTACCCCTCCTTCTTCGAGCGCAGCCAGGTGCAGCACTACCGGCCAGGCGCCTGCTTCAACATCATCTGCAACCACATGCGCTTCCACTACGAGGAGGTGCGCAAGCTCCTGCCGGCGGACGCCACCTTCGTGACGGTGCTGCGGGACCCTGCCTACCTCTTCGAATCCTCTTTCCACTACTTTGGGCGCATCATTCCCCTCACCTGGAAGCTGACGGGGGAGGACAAGCTGGCGGAGTTCCTCCGGGACCCCTGGCACTACTACGACCCCAACGGGTTCAACGCTCACTACCTCCAAAACCTCCTCTTCTTTGACTTGGGCTACGACAACAACATGAACGCCAACAGCCCGCTGGTGGAGGAGCACATCCAGGAGATAGATCGCCGTTTCCACCTCGTCATGTTGCTCGAGTACTTCGACGAGTCCCTGGTGCTGCTGAAGGACCTGCTGTGCTGGCAGCTGGAGGATGTCCTGTACTTCAAGCTCAACGCCCGCAAGGGCTCCACCATCTCCCGGCTGACACCTGAGCTCTATGAGAAGGCCACCTCCTGGAACCTCATCGACGCCAAGCTCTACCGCTATTTTAATGCCACCTTCTGGCGTAAGGTGGAGGCCTACGGGAGGGAGCGGATGGCTAAGGACGTGGCTGAGCTGCAGCGGGAGAACGAGAAGATGAAGAGCATCTGCATCGACGGGGGACACCCCGTGGACGCCAGTGCCATCCAAGAGTCCTCCATGCAACCCTGGCAGCCGCTGGGGGAGAAGTCCATCCTGGGCTACAACTTGAAGAAGAAGATCAACAAGAAGCACCAGAAGCTGTGCCGCAAGATGCTGACACCCGAAATCCAGTATCTGACCGACCTGGGGGTCAACCTCTGGATCACCAAGCTATGGAGCCACGTGCGGGACTTCCTGAAGTGGTAGGGGACAGCAGGCGCCCTGCTCTCCCCGGGGAACAACCAGGTGCTTTCCTTTTTCTTACTTGTGGTGTCTTTTGGTTGGACATGAGCAGAACCGGCTGGAGGCTCCGGCACCCGGGAATGGTCGGAGGGACCCTCCATCACTTTCCTCCAGAGCCCCAGCTTGGGCAGGAGCCTGTGTGGGGGCTGCTGCCACCCCTGCCTCCGAGGGGTCAAGGACTGGGGGCTTGGGGGTGTTTTCCAGCAGGACCCACTTCTCCCTTCCCCACGGAAGGGCCGGAGGAGGTATTCGTGAAGGATGTGGCCTCGTCACAGCGGAAGCAGGACATCCATCACCACGTCGCTGGAGCACGCCGTGGGTCAGGCAGTGCGGGGACGCGCGGCAGCCAGGGGGGTTCTCCTTGCCTGGGGTGGGCAGAGCTGCCAGCAGGGAACCCGAACTTCGAGGGGCTCCTCAAATCACCCCATTTCCCTTGAGCCCTGGTTTTGGGGCTGCGTGTCGGAGCCTGCTGCACCACCAATCCAGTGGGGACACCTGCTCCCCCACCACTCCAGTGGGTACCAGCTCATGCGTGTAACGAGTGCAGCACGTTCTCAGCCCACCCAGAGCTGTCAGTCCGTGGCAGGCTGTGACCCAGAGCCACCCGGAGCCATTTGGAGAATGGAAAACCCACCC